AAGTAAAATTTAATATATATATATATATATATATATATAATTTTATAATGTTTTTTCACAAAAAAAAAAAAAGTTTAGACTAATTTATTACCTCAACTTCATAAGTAAATGTGTTGTCTCATGCATAGTAGTAGAAAGTTATAAGAGGGAACTAAGGTTATGGTTGTGAATGTAAAAAAAAGATTAAAAACATGAAATAGCATATTTGTACTTATCAAATATGTTTGATTCATTAAAGAAAATTATAGTATAAGATAAAATAAATATAATTATTTTATATTTAATTTTCAAAAGAGTCATGGAATAGAACTAAAAAGATAAAGAAACATTGAACAAAGATTTAATTTTTTGTTACACAATAAATTAATATGAGACAACTAACTTATTACCTCAACTTCATAAGCAAATGTATTGTCACATGCATAGTGTTAGAAAGCTATTAGAGGGAACTAGGGTTATGGTTGTGAATGTAAAAGAGAACTAAAAAAAAGTCAAATAACATATTTGTACTTATCAAATATGTTGGATTCATTAAAAAAAATATAGTATTGAAAAAAACAAATATAATTGTTTCACATTTGATTTATAAAAGAGTTATAAGATAGGACAAAAAAAAATATAGAGAGACAAGATAAAAAAAAAAAACTAATTTTTTGTTACACAATAAATTATGGGACAACTTTTTGTCCCAAACACAAAAATACTCACTAGTATGATATTGTGTCAACATCACCCTAACCTATACTATTGGCACCCAACACTACCACTGCTATTTGACTATTTGAAAAGTGTTCCAAATCGTTGAGGACAGTGTCAATCCCATGAGGAATTGCACAATACTTGGCAATTAATTTACAAATTCATCGTTACATGAACACTTAAAACAAATTGGATGTTTGAGTTGATATATTTGATTTAAGAACGTACAAAGTAAATATTAACAAACGATATTTTGATGCTTTAAAGGTAAGAATATTGGTGAAATAGAATTATGAAATGGTTGATATGTGATGTTGGGATTAAACTTCATTATGAGTCATTCTTTTTTCATAAAACTTTAATACTCTCTTTGGACTTCAAAATCAACATTAGTTTATAAATGATTTCTTAACCCTAAAACCTTATAATAAATAACTAAGTACCTTACCAAATGTTAATCCCTTACAAATTTAATGAAAATAATTTGCATTAAGTTCACAAACCACAATGATGACTAATAATCCATATTCATTCCTAAAATAATAAGGATCACTAGGTGTATATTACTGTAGTTCAAGGTTAAGAGAACATTTTCGAATAACAAGCAAAATATCAAAACAAGGTATGAATCAAATCACAACAAATATTAAACATAAAAGTAATAATACTAACATTGAAGCACAAAGATAAATATATTAATCACAATAAATACATGAAAACGAGTTAGTTATATCTAATCCCAACAATAAAGAGTTTAGCTACTTATTTCCATAAGCAACCAACAATGGGCATGAGAAAATGGAGAAAAATGGACCAAGATGAAGGAACTAGCTCTAAAGCAATAAAATAATGTATTGTTGTCTAAGAACTCCAAAAAAATACAAAAACTTCCTTTTTCCCCTAACAACAACAACCTTACAAAAAGTTCCATAAAAGGAAACAAAATCGCTAGACAAAAGACTAGGATACTTGACTATACATGTTCGACAAAAATGGGATAATGGATCGTTCAAAATTGTTCAACGCCTAAACTACTCGTTGCATGAGACTAAAAAAATAAGAGTATTATTGTTAGGGATGAGAATAGGTCATACCTTAAATAAAAGATTTATGACCTGACCTCTTTAAAGTCTAGTTTCATTTTATATTTTTAATAAAAAGATCACATTTAGACTAAAATATTTTTTATACAATTATTTTTTATTGTAGATTTATAAGCTTACGACTTGTACATGAGTATACATCAACATACATGGTTACACATGAATTGTTCCTTGAATAGAAAATGATTCAATATTTCTCTTATAATTATTTTAAAATTTAAAATTTAAAAATACCGAGTAAACTATATTTTAAAAATAATTTAGACTGCGATGATCATACTTGGTATGGGAGCAGGTCAGGGATAGCTTGGAGTAGAGGTGATCGCTGCGAGACGAGGAGCTGAGTCTCGTGTTTTGAGTTACCATTCTGGGTAACAGTTTTTTTGTCTGTGCTTGACCGGCACTAAGGAATATTTTGGGATGACTGTACATATATGGTGCTATATTTTATATACAGAAACTTAACTATTTTGATCTTTATATTTATGCATGTATGTATGTGTTATCCAGTTTAATATTCTCTTAGTTAACTAGTTGTAGTGCGATTCCACTAAGTGTAGAGACCGTGGCGGGTTGTTACATACTGCCTTATTTTTTTCTACCAATTTAAAGCCCCGATTAGTATTTTTTTTATATTATACATAACACACAAATGTTCTTTTGGAGATTGTTTAAAATACACGTTATTATTGAAGAATTTATATCTTCCAATTTTTTTTTTTTCTAGTACGTAAATAAATCGTAAATATAGTCCAAGTTATAAAAGCCCAAGTTTCTTTTGGATCCCAATTCCAATATGATCCCCATGCCTCATTAGCCCATAATGCTCTTGAAATAATACCTATCGTTAAAAAGATAAAACCTAGACTAATAGTACGGTAACCCCAATGATTTGATTGTTGAATAAATTGAGATCTAAAATAATTTCTATAAGACGAATAAAAAAATTCTTTTAAAAAAATTTATTTTTTCACTCATATTTATGTATTTGATTACAACAAAAGAAAATGATTCATTTAAAAAATACAAATTCTTGGTAAAAGCAAGAATTTGTATGAGTTCTTGAAATATAATGACTAAAATAGCTATTGATAATAATGATCCACATAAAAGAGTTGCATAACCCAATATCATCATAATTATATGCACATTAACCAATGAGACTATAAAGCAGATACTAATATTAAGGATTCATGCATTTTGGTTAAAATACCTGAAGCAGCAAAGCCTTGGGTAAAAATAACACTTGGTGTGGTTATTGTATTTAAATAGTAGTTTTTATGCTTTTTAAAGTAAGGAACTATATAAAAAAATGGAAAAATTCCATGAAAGAAATATTAATGATTCATATAAGCCCAAAAAAAAAACAATGAGTAAATAACAATCCCGTTATATAAAGAAAAAAGTTATTATTATGCCTTTTTTGGACGAATCAAATAATCCTATGATTTCACTAAATAAT